CCTAGAGCAGATCAATCCGGAAAACTCCCTGGAAGCCAAGATGACCAAATTGAGACTGTCATACTTCAGACATATCATGAGAAGAGGGGACTGTTTGGAAATAACAATCATGCTGGGGAAGGTGTAGGGAAGTAGGAAGAGAGGTAAACCACATGCTAGATGGATGGAATCTATTAAGGAGGTCACGGGTATTAAGGGGTTGCAGGATTTAAGCAGAGCAGTGGAGGACAGAGGGTCTTGGAGATGTTTCATCCTTAGGGTCACCATGAGTCAAGATCAACTTGAGGGCAGTTAACAACAATTGTTAACAACAATGTATATAGTTATTAAAGCCATTATTATTTGTTTTTAAACCACAAAACAATGTGGTTTACAAACCACAAAACCATGTTTGTTGTTTTTTGAGTTAGTCTTTATTCTTTAGGAAAGCATATTTAGACTAAAATAGGTGGACTCAAAGTTCTGGTGGACTGCTAATGAAAGATAGACTCTAACAAGTTTAACTTTCATATTTTTTATTTTTGTTTTTCTTTAGAAGGGTTAGCACCCTGGGTACAAAGGGATCCTCATATGCATACATTATTAGGGATGGAAAGAACATCTGTAAATGATCAAATGAAGTTTGTTTTGCGTATCAGGAAACCCTGACAAAGAGAATTTTGGACTAATGAGAACCTTTGCAGTTTAGAACTTATTCTGTACAAAAGTTACACCTTTTTTTCACAGAAACAGCATTGTCTATACAGGGATCATGCAGAATAATATTCCTGTACATAAATACAATTTCCTATGCAGAAAACCCTGTAGTTGGGTACTGTTCTTTCTTGTACAGATAATGGTGAAATTTGTGCAGAATAACTGATCTGTAAACTTCAAATAATGTGCAGTTTGTGAAGATTTTCTTGTAATGGAAATAAAATTGCTATAATTACTCATTCCTTCATTCAAGAACAAAATCAGGAAAGAATTACACCTGTACACATTGCATTTTGTTGTTGTTGCTGTGTGCCTTTGTTTCTGACTTATGGCAACCTAAGGCTCATGGGTTTGTTTGGCAAAATTTGTTCAGAGGAGGTTTGACACTGCCTTCCCCTGAGGCCAAGAGCATATAACTTGCCCAGTGGGGGTTTATGTGGCTGAGCAGGGAATTGAACCCTGGCATCTAGAGTCATTATCCAGCCCTCACACCACTATGCCACACTAGCATATTAAACATTACACTGCCTCAAATGTTACTGGTACATGGCTACTCCTTGCCAGGCTATCTCTCTGTATAAAAGATTGCAGGGGTGCTAGCTGAAGCTTGTCTGTGCCACTGAAAAGACTTGCACTTAAGTGATAGACTCATGGGAGTATTCCCTAGCTGGGAGGCTTATTTCAGGGAAAGAACAACTCAACATTAGGCAGGTTGCTTCTCCTTCTGGACAATGGAACTGTAACTTGGGAGCAGATGCTTAGGAATAATCATGTCAACTACCTGATTCACTTCTGGATTTCACAGGGTAATGGAGGCTTCAATTGGCTCTTTAGCCATGCTATGTAGAAATTTCCTAAGTCCTGGCCATAAAGATTTGGGTCATACAACAATTTAGAACAGAATGATCACCCAAAGTCATTATTTCCAACTGCAAGTGATTGCTTGTCATGAGGGACAATTTAAGTAAATGAGATAGAGTTGGGAAGAAAGAAAGGACAATGCTGAGACAGAGTAAGGAGTATGCACATTAATTTTTAATACCACGTGGCCAACTCTCATTCTGGCTCAATCTGGAATAACTACAAACACACACACACTATCACACACAAATACACATATACATACACTGCAGAAATGGCTTCTTGAATGATAAAATATTAATATTCCTAGTTGCTTATTTAGTTCTTAGCACCAAACATCTTAGAAAAGTAATGGTTAGAACCAAAAAGAAAAAGAAAGGGAAAGGAAAAAAGTGCTTCAGCATATTTTGCATATGGGATTTACATATGAAATCTAATGTCTTATTCAAAGTAAAAGCACTTGACTATATGTGAAACTGTGACAGTGCTGCATTCCTAATTCAGAGTTTTCTCTGTGCTTTCTGGTTTTGCTCTGTAAGGATTTAAATAAATACATGTTGGAATACTATATAGGCTGTCTACTTCATATCATTCCCTGCTACTACACTGCCATTTGGACTTTGCTGCCATGAGCTATACACCTTTAATAATGCAGTAGAGTAAAAGCAAACTGGAGATTTAACCTTTGTTTCCAGAAGACCCTGCTACTTGGTCATCCAGAATAGTGAATATGGCTCCAACTGTGTTCAGTGAGCTCACCCACTCACAGCGTGCAAACCATGTGCCTGAATGATCACACACAGTTTGCTCTTGTTTGGCTGCCAAGAGCCAATTCATGTTACTTTTAGATACAGAAGAGATTATTGTACCTTGTCAGTTTCACTTGGTGAATAATTCTTGTGCATATGCCCACAAGCTGTGACAGCTGGTATTTACTGTGATATATGGATTTGGATTAATAACAATTAGCCATATTCATTTTTTATGTTCAATGCCACAGATCCAAGCTGACATTTTAAAAGCCCCAACCTGACCAAAAGCTAGACATTTCTATATTAGACTGGAAATATTTGTTTGTTAGAACCGAGAAAGGTGAGTGGTGTTCCTAACAAATGAAAATACTACTCATTAACTGGGCATAACTCTAGCTGTTCCAGAAAACTTCAGGGTTGATTGTTATTGTTGTGTGCCCTCTTATCATTTCCGACTTAAGGCAACACTATCACAGTGTTTTCTTAGCAAGATTTGTTCAGAGGTGGTTTGTCATTGCCGTCCCCTGAAGTTGAGAAAGTGTGACTTGCCCAAGGTCATCCAGTGGGTTTCATGGCTGAGCTAAGAATCGAACCCTGGTCTACAGAGGTGTACTCCAACATTCATACCACTACACCACTCTGGAATGGACAAATCTGTCCATTTTATTTTCTCTCACATCTGGTGAAAAATCAAATTAAAACAAACTGGGGAAAAATCACTCAAAAATTGCTACTAACCATTTTCAAATGCTAGACAGCATGGCATAGTGGTTTGAGCATTAGACTATGATTCTGGAGAATGTTGTGACTTCAAAGAAATTAAATCCTTAAGGTTTATTATACATGTGAAAACCTAGAAAAAACCTGAAAAATTAAGAAGATATCAGGAGTGGGGTCCATTTTTCCCCTTGAGTTTTATAAATGGATTATGTGAAACCCTGTTTTCTTTTAGAATGATGACTAAAATGTTTAAGACATGGTGTTCATGCATTTAATCTCCCCCATATTATTTCTAGAAACCATATAGCAGGCAGATTTTTATGTGAGACTATGCATTGTATCTCACATTATTATAATGCCTGGTCTTGCTCTGCTTTTCTTAAGTCTTTTTATGGGAATGATTGCTTTATGGTTCCTTTATCTTTGGAGGGTTACATAAGACAAAATAATTTTTTCTGTGTTAATAATGTTGATGGTATCTTCTGTTTTTATTGTGTGTGTTGTAGGGGAGTTTCCCCTTGCTTCTCACAGATTGGCAAAAAGAAAGAGGTTCTTTGGAGTGTAGGTGTTCCTTACACTTCAGGACCTTGTAACTCCATTTATAATAATATTATTCTCAAAAGTAGATTTAATTTATTATTTTCTGAATAAGTTATATCTCTAATATATAAAATGTGAAATATAAATAAATAAATAAATAAATAAATAAATAAAGTTATGTTCCTAAAACAAACAATAACCCAAAATCCAATTCTTCCCCATTTCTACATGGGCCCAAAAGGTGCAAGTGCTATTACTGCTGTGATAGCAAAGGACCACATCCAAACTGGATGCAAATCCCCATTTAAAGCAACAGAATTTTCCTGTCTCCAGCCAATATGGGTCCAAGGACAATTCAGACAGTCTCTGTGGAGTCCAATGCAGTACGGACATTTCAGGTTGTGACCATCCAAAACCAGGGTAAGGAACCATCTAAATTCCAGTTGACAGGATCCAAGATGACAGCTGGCAATTTGGGTATAGGCAATCCAAAGCCAAGGTAAAAGTAGTTCATGGTTAAGTACAAAGGGGGACCAAAAAAGCAGGGGACAAGGCTTTGTGAAAAGTAGCAAGGGTTACCCCTTCCCCAGACCCATGGTTCTCAATGTTTAGTCCTTCAAATGTTTTGGACACTCAGAAGCCCCAGTCAACATAGCCAATCTGAGAGTTCAAAATATCTGGATGGCTAAAGACTCAGAACCAATGATACTCCTATTTATACAGCTAGTTCCAGTATGGCATAGGGGGGCATCTGTTCATAACCATGGTCTTTAAGCAGTAGTGTGTCACAGGGTTTGCTGAACAAAAGCTGTATGAAATAACTGGGTGCGGTTATTAGGTGAGATGTGGGTGTCATCAGTATGTTGATGACACTTTGCTCTACTTCTCCTTTTTTCAGGGAGTCAGCTCGAACTATGCAACAGCTGAAACAGCACCTAGATGCTCTAAAGGGTTAGATGAGGGTTGAATACCAATAAAATGGTAGTTCTTGTAGATCTTGTGATACAGGGAGAGATATAAAACTTTCAATCAATCAATCATTTCTTCCAGATTTCACTAGTTGTGAATTT